GGGGGGGGGGTTGGCTCCGATGATTTGTAAATATCTAGAAGAGCCCAGATTTTGAAGCCCCGAGGACACTTGCTAAAACTCAAAAGTTGGCACTAGTCTTTGTACACAATTTGGGTTTTCTTTCAGAGTTGATATCTTACCAAATAAAGCCATCTGTGTTCCCTCTGGGAAAGGTTCAACTGTTCTGTTGCCATTGACATGATGTTTGGCTATAAAAAAAAGAGAAAGAAAGAAATGCAAGTTAAGTGTAAAGTTCTACACACATGTTAACACATGTCATTAAATGTGTCAAAGGGCCTACTTCTCATTTTTAGTTAGAAATGGCACCAAAGCTTACCCTCTTAAGAGAGTTTCAATGATTTTGTTTTTAATCTGTTACAGAAGAGCCAAGAGATGGTCTAGTGCAGGCATGTCATTTTCAAATGAGTGTGCTGAGGCCCAACCTTATGCAGAGCTGCACAGCGGGTGGAGGCAGAGCCAGCTCAGCCTGGAATCTCCTGACTCCCGGCCGGAGGGTCCCCACTGCGCCAGGCCATCCCCTGGAGAACAAGCAAAGCTCTGGCTTCCAGGGTGACCTGGGGGGGCTTCCCCTGAAGACTCCTGATGATCAGAACATTGACCCAATCAATAAAGTGAGTCATAAAGACAGCAGGGTCACACTGAGACCAATTTTTCAAGAACACATCATTTCACTACAGTTCAAGTACTATTCCTGGGAGCCAAAGATACTCACCTTCTTTTAGACCAGACAGACACTCTAGTGCCTGCTCCTGCTCTTCACCCACTCTGGTCCCCTCCACCAATCACCCTTCCCACCCTAGTGCATATCAAGGACTTAGGAACAAAAAGTGACCAGGGTATGGTTTTCCAGCATTAATTTGTTCCCATAACCCCCAAACTGCAACCTGATAGAGAATATCTGCATATGGCCCATCTGTGAGTATTTTAATGCTGTCCTCAGCAACTTCTGAATATGGGCATTTATGTTGGAAACGCGTAAGAGACAAATGGCTAGAATGCTTTCACGCTGCATCACGCAGCCACACATTTGCATGTAATGGGTCACATCAGATTTCTTGAGCTCTGGCAAAGGATTCAGCACTAAAGCTAGGCTCTGAGGGGTCAGGGGGAAAGTATGACATTTTCCCAGCCCCGCATGAGAGTAAAAAATTCTAAAGCGGACTTTACCAGAAAGCTTACAATTATGTGCTAAGTCCAGGAACAGGGACTAAAGGTACTGTAAGAGATCACAGAAGAGGGACAGTCAGTTGGGACATCAGAGCCAGGGACCTGGAGGAATTGCAACTAGTGTAGAGTATTAAAGGAGAGGCCGGTTTGGAAAGGTGGAGGGTGTGGAAGCAACTTTAGTGAGAGCCAGGAGTAGATGCAACCAAGGCGTCACCCTGGGCCAGAACAGAGTCTAGTCTGGGCATACTAGAGGTGATATGAGGAGAAGCAATGGCAATGAAAGACAGACTGGCAGGCAGGGAGTGGGTCATGGAACATCTTGAGAACCCCATCCAAACCCACGGGAGCCCTAGGCAGCCTCCGCAACACCACTGCAGTCTTTTAGAGCCTGAAGGCTTCTGAAGTTCAGTCCAGTTTTGAGGATCCCTTTGGGATACCATTAGTTCAGGGGCTTCCACTGGTTCCTAAGTATTTATGGCACTATCCTAAGAAGAGAAAACCTGGGAGGAGGGAAGGAGTCAGGCCAGGTGAACAAGAGAGCAAGCCCTACAGTAATCTCTAGGCACTAACAGGCACAATTAGCAGATGCGAGGTGCAAAGTCAGGTGACGTGGGATTTGTCAAGTGCTCACTCATATGGTTAGGACCACTGGTCACTGAATCCAAAGAAATGTGATGTCGCCCCATGTGGAGGTCACAGTTCTGTTCTATGGTGAGCACTCCACAGCCCTGCCCGTGGTTCTAAAACGTCTTCCTTTAACACATCAAGAGCTGTACGCCCATTTAAACACTGACCCACTGATCCCACTTAGAAGAACTTAACATAAGAAAAATGCAAGAAGGGAAAAGGTGATATGCACAACAATACTTATTGAAGTACTATTACTTCTAATAATGAAACCTAATATCAACTAAATACCCAAAATAGAGAAATTGCTTCAAAAGTTATAATCCATGATTTATCAAAAGCATGACATATTATGCTTCATATTTTAAATACAGCATTTGAAAGATATATAGGAACATGGAAAAATATTTGCGATAATGGTAAGTGAAAACAATCCTATTACACACTGGATGTAGGTTATAATGAGAACTAATTAAAATATGAATGCTTATGGGAAAAGACTGCCAGAGAAACATGCAAAAATGAAAATAATGAGGGGAATCATGTAAGACATTTACCTTTATTAATTTCCTTGGTCATTGTTCGATTCTTATTTTCTAAATGAGAATATGTTTGCTTGGGTTTTTTAAAAATCAACAAATTATAGATTTAAAAAAATTTGCCCAATACTTGGTTTCCCAGGATAGTCCATCAGGCCTTATTTATAATCCAGTACATACACGTTTACAATAAAGTGTAGCGTGTTTGACATCTCCACTGGGAGGTGCTCAAAAGCACCTCCAACACAAGATGACCTTCCTCTCCAAACTTGACCTCCTTCCAGCAGCCCAATCTCTGGGAACAGGGTGGCCAGCCCCTTCCCTGTCCCCCGTCCTCCCTCTCCCTCTCCATGCCAGCGCGAGCTGACCCTGCCTTCCGAGCCTGCGAGGTCCCTCATCCTCGCCCCTCCTCTTTGCCTGGGCTCCTCCACCACCCTCAGTTCATTCTTCCCATAGTCACACTACCTTCAAAAGAAAGAAGTTCCGATTATATGACACAAACTCCCCACCCCTCCCTACGGCTGCTCGCTGCGCTGAGGCTAAGTGGAAAGGCTAACCCAGCCCGCGAGGCCCTGGTGCTCTGGCCACCTCGACCCTCAGTCCCACGCTGCTCTCCTGGGGCGAAGGGCCTTTTTCTGCAGCACTCACCAGAGCTGCACCTTACACTTAGTCACTATTTGGAAGAGAAGACGGTAAGCTCAGGGGGGGCAGGGCTCGTGTCTCTTTTGGCTCACCATATCCACAATCCTAGCACAGCATGGGACACAGAATAGTATTTAATACATAGTTTTAACTGATAAAGGAAGACATAAACAGTTCTAAAAAGTCTTTCTGGCCACTATGAAAGCTATATCATTTCATACACTAAAAATATCTCTCTCTTTATATGTACATGTGTCCCTCATATAAAAATGATCATTAAAAAAACTCAAAGTTTCCCCATCCAAGTGGCCTGAAGACAAAGGGACTCCTCTATTCCACTCCGTAAATGTCCAGCCCCCTTCCCTTCCCATTCACCTACTCTCAGCTGTGCAGGCAGCAATGCTGGTGGAGGTGGAGAGACTAGAAATGCTACCTGAACTGGAGAGGAAGGCGGGAGTTCAAATGCAGCTCTCCTCACTGCTAAGGCTACCCTAGACCTCGCCTTATCTTTTATTCTACAGCCCAAGGCCCCAAAATAACAGGGTCTGTAAACTCGATTTTACATTTTCTTCTGAACTGCAGGTGAGTCTTACATCAGTCCCTGGAGAGCCAAGACACAGCCTTAGCCAACAGAAGATAGCACAGTTTCAGCAGCTAAGGACGTGGGCTCTGGAAGAAGGCTGGCGGACTTGGAATCTCAGCTTCCCATTCCCTAGCTTAGTCACTTAACCTCTTTGTGCCTCAGTTTCCTCATTTGTAAGTTTCCTCATTGGTAACAACCTTATGGGTTGCTCTGAGGATTAAATGAGTTAACATCCATGAAGCACTTAGAACAGTGCCTGGCACATAGTAAAGACAACTATTAGACTAGAATTATCATCTCTCTGTGAACTTGATTTTTCATAAGACCTGAATCAGGAATGACAAATACATGGCACTTATTTACCTCTCCTCTGCGCTCATGCCCATGACAGACATCACGGCATGCTTTCTCTGTCCCCAAATGCCATCACAAAATCTTTTCTCCACTTAGCACCCCACAGAATCTCTCGTGTGCTTAAATCATCTTGTCATTCCTGGTCTAAGTGAATTATACAGAAAGACAGTACAAAGAAAGAAGCCATTTTCCTTCCCATTTCTACATGATAAATTACAATAAGAAGACAGGCCCAAAACTCTATAGATAGCTTTAGGGATGAAAGAATGGGAGGAAATCTGAGCCCTACTTTCTATTCCATGATGAGGGAATGGTGAGTTCTTAAAAACGAAACAGTTGCAGTTCTATTCCTGGAAACCAAGGTTGAACTTCTAAGGGCACTTTCCCATTGAAACTCTGCTGAGGCTAGTGTTTGGGAGCCAAAGAACCAGAGATCCTTTAAACACATTATATAGGACAAATAAGATTTGGGGTGGGGAGGACTAACCTGGGAACCTAATGAGCATTTATAATTTTTTTTCATAATTGGTTGCACATTTCACCATGGAAGCAATCACACTGACTAAACAAAAAAGTCACTCATTGATTGGGTACTAACTATTGATTACCAGCAGGGCATGAAATGGAGACAGGAGGGGCTTTCTGACAGGGACATCTGCTTCCTGGCCACAGCAGGGTGGATGCCTCCAATCTGGCTGATCCGGCAGATGTCCCTGCCCCTGCTCCATGGGGACACATTCCAAAGCCACATGCTCCAGGAGGACAACCTCTGATGACGGCCAGACGTGTCCTCAGTCAAGGGTATATGAGGACAAGGAATAGATTTTCATTTATCTTGAAAGCCCGGTGCTTAGGGGCAGCAAGGTTAATTAGAGCAAGTTTGGGTCAAAGTCAGCTCTTGGAGAGATTTTGAAGGAGATTTGAGGGACATGTTCAGAAGCTTTAGAAGATGATACTGACATGATTTTTTGCTTTGTTTTGTGAATATCTAATGCACTTCAAACTTTATAACTGTTTTCTTGCTTGAAAAATGAACCTTTAATAATGTAAATTCACACATAACCCAATCAGTGATTAGCTCCTCGTCTTGTACTCAAACTGAGACAGCTAAAATTATTATCTTCTAGGGGGGATCAGGCAGGTAAATGGCAAGGAAGCAGGGGACTGGGGGGTGGGTTCTCAGGCCCTCAATGTTCTCCTGTAGATCCAATCTCCTCCAGTCTGGGTGACCATGGTGACACTACCTAATTGGAGATTCTAGGAAGTGCTACTGTTG